CAAAAAACCAAACACCTGTCCTGATTTTTTTATTTATTTGTTAAAACATGAAAAAAAATGTTTTAGACAAAGAGGCCACTTCTGGAAAATAATACTTTTAGTTGAATCAGGAGAAGACTAGTTAAAATCACATAGGTTTTGCGTTTTAAAAAAAGGAAAGCACTAGGATCAGTTATTGGCACTGAGTTACTATTTACAATGAACAGAGGTTTTGCAGTTTACATAACATCAATACAATGCAGTTTTGGAGTCTTTGATTAAGAAAAAAACAAGTGTTTTTTTTGTTTGTTTGTTTTTCCTTTTTCTGTTTTTCCTTTTCATCCAGGACATTCAGATTATTAGGACAAGTGGTTGCAGGCAAGGGCTACAGAAGTTCCCAGCTTCGGCCCCTCCTGTGCATGGCGGTGCTGGAAGATGATCTGGAGAAGCTGATCACAGAGTTGGAAGCTGAAGGGCAGATTAGGCAGGGCTGAGAAACACCTGGCAATTCATGACAGTGTCTGGAGACCAAGGATTTACAGGTTGTCACCGGGCTGGTACTGGGGTTCTGTTGCAGTGAAGTAGTCTTCAAGGAAACCCTGCAAATACTCGAAAGTTGGGCGCTCCTCTGGGTCTTTTTTCCAGCAGTGGATCATGAGCTCGTGCAAGGAGATGGGACAGTCCTGAGGACACGGCATCCGATAACCACGCTCTACTTGCTCCAAGACTTCGCGATTATTCATGCCTGTAATGGGCAGACAAATCCACAGGGTTAAATTACAGGAAAATTGACCGGAGTATAGCTATATCTACAATACCTATAATTTTCTCAGTCATACTAATTTCTTTGGTTCAGACAAGTGAAACAAAACCACTGCAATGTCCTGTTTCAGCTCTTCATCTATTGCAGGGTAACCTGGATTATTTTCTTTCTCAACAGAGGGCTTTAAGATCCAGTGATGAGTAAAATGCTGCTCCCATGGTTACTCTCTTGGCTTACTCACAATGGGCAGGATTTGGCACATTCCCTCTGCAGCAACAGTAGCTGTGAAATCTATTGTGTCAGGTGGTTAAAGAAAATAACAAATACTGTGCAAAATTATAGAAATTCAGAGGAATATTTGAAACCCTCACACTGAGTGTGGGCCTTTCTCGAAGTGCTCTGTGAGGTCATGCTGCAGACAAACTCTGCCACTTGGGGCTACCAGGGATGCCCAGCAGCATTACCTTCAGCACTGGTTCAGAAGTTTGCTCCTGCTGATGATTTGCACTCCCTCCATCCTTAGTATTGTTTCTAACACATTTACCTGTCCCACCCCAACGCAGAAGAGAACAAAGTTGCTCAGAAAACAAGCCAACTGCCAAGCAAAACAGCTCCACTGCAGAACCACAGTTCTCTCTCACAAAAGTTAAAAGTTATATTACCATCATGCTTGTCTCTAACAGGCAGCCAGGCCCTTTGCTATGCAACTCTTGATTCCTCTGCTGAAGGGAGTTTTTTACTGTACCTTAATTGCAGTCAACCCCAACCTTAGTTTAAACAGCTCTTCCAGTAATTCTTTTGTCTTTTTAACAGTACCAAGAGTAAGACTAACACCGCAGGCATGCAGAAGTATTTCAGAGAAAGCATGCACATTGACTGCAAGCTTTGCGGCTTGCCAGTTGGCAAGCCCTGCCCAGTCCTTGTTGAAATATCTGCAGGCTTTACTCCACAGACTTAGTGGGTCCTGCCAAGCAGCTCTGCAGGAGAGCTAGGAGGGACACTTAAGTTCCTCCATGACTGGATCTAGAAACCAGCACCTTGTTGTTGCTCTTTCCATTAGCTTCTCCTCCCCCTGGTTTCCATGGCACCATACTTCCCTGGGTCTTGTCTGCTCTGTTCTTCCAGGGTGTCCTCTTGATGAACTTTCTTTTACCACCTTCAGGACCAAAGGGATCATCTCTTCTCTCTACTCCATATTTTTGGTAAACTTATTTGTGAGAAATAGTTCACACACCTTCTTCAATACAGATTCATTTGTCTACTCTACACTATGGCATTTTGGCTCTTTACTTGGCTGTATTCTTGGATTTGGTCTTTACTCTCTTCATTGTCTTCATGTCCTGGCTGTGTTATTTTTGTAAAGATGCTTTAAAATAAGCATCTGCAAAATACAGCCTTTCCTGACCATCCACATCTACATTCTCATCTCATGGTGGTATAAAAAACCACTTTTTCCTCTTATCTTGACAGGGTATTTTCCTCCTGCTGATTTGCAGTGTCTCCGAAAGGATCATTTTCCCAGCCTGTTGCTGGAACTACCCCTTGCCACTTGCTCCTTGGTGCAAGCTGCTTGATTTCATTTTTGAAGCCTCTCACAGGCTGCTCTGTTAGCACTTAGGCTCTCATTTGGCAATGTCCTGGTCAATCCACAGTTCTGGTTAAGCTACTGCAGTACCTTCGATCTTTAAACAAGCACTTGTGCACTGTTTCTCAGACTGCCTGTTGTGCATGGAGGAACCTCCTTAGACAACTGCCTCATCCTCCTACAAACTTCTCCTTACCGTTCCCTTTAACAGTGATAATTGCAAAAAGAAAGGTTAGATTACTGATTTATGTATTTCCTAACCTGCAGACCAACACTTTAGCACTGGTTTCTTGTGTTTGGTTTATCACCTGTATCCACGCACAGTATTGTTGGTGCTAGATGTTTACAGGTAGGAGCAAGCACTTTGTTTGGCACCTAAAATGGTCTGTGGTTAAGGCTTTACAGAATGATCAGAATAGAGTAATAACATTCCTCCGCAGACTCTGCATAGTGCTCAAGTTCTCCTGTATTACTGGCTCCAAATTGATGTTATTAGGTCTTACAGACTCACAACAAACCAGAAAAGCTTGCACACATTGAACAAATGTTGGGGTGTTCCTCATTATCCAACAAGAACATTTTCAAACATATTCTACTATTTTATTAAATTACAAAACAATGCTAGTAGTCTGTTAGTCATCACCAACCCAAAGGCGGCAGCAGCAAACCAAGCCTTTTGGCCTTGCTGTTTTCAAGATGCTACAAGAAAAAAAATGTGCATTTTGCTCATGCTGTGTTCTCAGTATTAGCTCTTTTAATGTATGTTTTGAACAAAAATCTGCACCCTTTTTCATATCCTTGTCTTTGAGTCAGCTGAATTACTTCATGTTTTGGGGTAAGAACTTCTGCTGTGCTTTGCTTCCATTACATATTAAAGGCTACAAAAAAAGTGTTACCAGTAACTCATCTACTGTATATACCTAAACCACAAACAAATGACACTCTTTGCTTTTATTTTGGCAGTACTTCTTTAAGTACAACATAAGTGGAAGCAACAGCAGCAGAAAAGCTCCTTCCCAACTGATTTGTTATTCCAAGATATCAAATGTTTGGTATTTTTATCCAGTGCATTACTCAGTGCCGCAAAGCACACTCTGAAACTTGATAATGAACTGTATGCTGGAAGAGAAACCCTGAGGAGAGAGAGGGGGAAGGAAAAACATAAACAGATCTTCACTTCTCTTTAAAACAAAACCCAACAGATAGAAAAAAGAATATAAAAGAAACATTGCTGTCTGAAAACATAGCCATTTTTTGTCCCTGGAAAGTCAGTTAAGCCAGGTTTTCTCATCAGGAAAATGCCCTTCTTTTCCTTTCTTCTTTCCCCTCTCTCCCAGTAAAACCCAGATATGAAACTAAACCAAATAATCCTCATGTTCCTTACTGGAATTCATACATCCAGTAAGGGCTGCAACACCTTGGATTTGCCAAAGAAATCTGTCAGTTTTGATGTGTGCTGTCAATTTTAAAAGGCAGTTTCAAATAAAATATTTTTTTTCAAAATCAATTTGCTTATTAGTCAGACTTATAAAAATAGCAGTGTTGCAGGTATACTTTTTACTTCTTAAAAGGTCTACTTATGTTTAAAAACCTATTATCTAGATTCACTTATCTTATCCTACAAGTTTTAGTGTTTCTCTTTTGATACCAGGAGTCTGTTGTATCTGCACTTCTAACATCACAAAGAGAATACTTGAGCATTCTGTACAATTCCTCTCTCCTAATGAATACCCAAGAGTTTCAACTCTTTTAGTAAATAATAAATGAAATTTTGCTTTCAGTACACTTCTAGACCCCTTAAATGTTTGTCCTAAAATCTTTAAATCTGTGGAATAAACTACTCAGCAAGAGTTATCTGTAGACTACAGCTATTTCACCTGCTTGAAAATCAGTTTGCGCTCATGATTTTTCTAGAACTACCATTTGGACCAAGAAGGAAACATTCAATTTCCAAAAGATGGCTTCTCCATTCGCTTTTTATTCCCTGAGAAGAGCAAAACTGAAATAACCTCTCACCATCCAGCTTTATTTGTGAAACCTTCAATAGTCTTAGGATGCACAGGATATGGCCACTTTAATGCTCAATACGGTAAAAATCTACTGCCCATATGGACTGGGGACAGAAACGCAATGCGGCTGGACTTTTCCTGGAAAAGCTGCAGTAGTAAGAGTTACTGTGACAGAAAAGAGGATGTAAGGTTTCCAGTTTTGGCTGAAGAAAACACTGGAAAGTGCTTTGGAGTGTTCTGAGGAGCCTGAGTAGATGGAGCACAGCAGATGTGCAAATAGCACAGATCTGGGCAATGCTGCTCTTCCAGAAGATCGAAAGCATTACTGTAACTAGGTAGCATCCCCACATCCAAGACTAATAAGCTATACAGATTAATTTGGGCAACAGGAAGTCCAGTGAGGACAGTGGTGGTTTTAAGCCACTTTATTCTTGCTTTCTTCTGTTGGACCAAGAATTATGCTTCTTCAAGACCCGCTGCACACTTTCAGACCAATGATCAAACTAATACAGACACAAATGCTCAAGGACTCTTCAAACAAGAGCTCAACTGCTGCCCATCCCCAGAAATGCTGTATTTCAGATTCTCCAAGAACCCACAGCTGTGCATATTTAAAGGTTCCTCAGACATGGACATGATGGCCCTTCTCTAGTACAGCTGAGAAGGTAAAACTGTGAAGTCCTCCAGAGGAGCTGGATCATGTTGGCACTCAGAGTATTCTCTCAGCAGAGGGAGGTACAATGGAGGCAGACTGATTTTGGGGTGTTGTTCTGTTTGATCTAGAAGCAAAATTTCTAACTTCCATGGACAGCCCCAAAGAAATACCAGAGGTGAGGGCACAGGGATGGGATATGGGACACAGGCAGGGACATTATTCCATACACAGGCATGATAGTGTACTGAAGGGAACAGGAAAGCTGATCTTGAAGGAAGATAACCTTTGAAGAATAATGCTCTTCTTTACTGAGTACAGTATGAACCTAGTTATTTCTGTGCAAAAGTAGTAACAGGTTTTAAAAGTTTTTTTGGCTCCTCTGCTGCCCATATCTAGTTTTTATTTCCCCAGTGTGACAGTGGAAATAGAACCTCAATGCCCAGAAAGACTGTGAAAGTTGCTTGTTTCAATCTGCTGCCTGATGAAAAGAATGGGAAGGCTAGGAGAAGCACTAATAAGTTAATTATCATCGTGGCCCATTACATCCATTGACAGAGAAACAGGCTTGGTTGAAAGATGAAGATGAGGACATCTGCCAAAAAGTCAGTCTTGCTTAGGGGTTTGGGGCAAGGCTTGATTATGAACTTTAGTCTGATCTTCAACTCTGCCAGCGAAATCCTTACTGCTCCCCTGTCCTGCCACCACTCCAGCCTCCCTCTCAAAATGGGGCATCAGAAGAGGAATGGGGTTGAAATCTGGGGAACAATGAATACCAAGTCCTGTTCCTTACACAGTCTGTTCCCCTCATATATGCTGCCTGCCTTCTCTTTCCATCCTCCTTGTTGTGCTTCTCCCTCCTTCTACACAAGCTTAAAATAATGTCTGGTTCTCCAAGGCCTGAGGTAAAGTGCCCTGTGGGCATGGTTACCACCACAGGACTGGGGTGTGTGCTATAACTAACCTCTCCAGGCACTAAGGTCTTCTCAAACAAGAGAGCAGTCCCTTTGCCTGAGGGCCTCTCCCCGCTTCCCCTGGCCTGCTACAAGCTGTAAGCAGGAACACTGAGACAACATGCCCACAATTACTTCAGAAACTGTGTATTACAGTGAGTATCAGCTCCATGATCATCTTTGTTTCAAGGCTGACCATTTCCAGAGGTTGCAAACCCACATGCATTGGGTGCTAAAGTGGTCAGCAGTGCCTACGAACTGCGTTCTCTTACCTATAGGTCATTTACTATGACTTGGGTGAGGAGGGCCAAGATCTGCCTCTCAGGGTGGTTGAACTCCCATCTCCTCCTCGTGCCAGCCATATGGTGATGGCAGGAAAAGCCCCGTGGGTACATATGAACCCTACTCCCTGCTCTAGAAAGGGGCCTGAATTCATGAAGCTCTATCCTTCCAGGATATCCTTCCTCTCCCCAGCATAAAGCAGGATGTAGACAATCCTTTCTATGTCTGGGGAAAATAGAGTCCTTTCTGAGGGGCTCAGAAGGTCTTTGTCACCTTTGGGAAGTCTGAACCTTCTTTCTATCCCACATGCAAAGGCAGGCTTCTGAGAGGGCCCTAGTTCCCCTCCACATTTGCCTCAGCCTATAAAGCCTTCCCAGTTAGGATCTGGGGAATGAGACCATATTGAAACCTCTAAGGGGTTGGAAATACAAATTTAAAATAGAGATTGCCCTTAGGTAAAACTGACAGAGAGGGGAGTGATGGTAACCATGAGAATGATTAAGGCCTCCTGACTAAGCAGGGTGAGAGTCCCAGTGAGGAGGAAGGACCCTGGCAAAGAGCTCGAGCAGTGCATAACCACATACATGACCTTCCAGAAAATTGCTCACTCTGTGATATATAACACACAAAAAGTTGTTTCCAGCTACTTGATGTCTTCCTAGCATGGATAAGGGAGAGTGAGCAGGAAGGACTTTCAGGATGTGAGGGCTTTATGCAGTGAAGGATGAAGGGGGAGGATGGTGCTGAAAGAGGAGAGATGCCACTGGTTGTCTTTGATGTGCTCAAACTGCCATGTAATAAAACTGTCCACATTTTCAGGACATAGACCATGCCTGGGACTTCTGTCACAGATCCCACAAGAAGTTATATATTGCAAGCACTTAAATGCACACTCAGTGGCCTCTTTTTCCTTCAGAGAGAGACAGGAACATGTGGGAAGTGCAGACATCCTCTGCTGCTATGGCTAACACTGTGTCCAGTTACAAACCTATGAGTTAACACAGGGCTTAAATTGTCACTTTTGACTTAACAGTATTTTTCCTCTGTGTGAGTGTGTCTGTGCTCCTGTGCATGTGATAAGAGAGAAGGATGGTCACTAAGCATCTCTGCCCCACCAATGCAGAGCTCAGGGAAACAAATTCACCTTAACTCTGCCTCAGTGGTAGGATCCTCGGTACACCCACTCTGCTGGAAGTGGAATTTCCTCTTCCTGCAGCCCAGCCAGAAGCATAGCCCATTTTCTGTAAATAACACCATATCAGCTGTGTCTTACACATCTTCCTTCTGTCTTTGACCTTTGCACACACATCTGCATTTAACCCTCAATAAAGCAGCGGAAATCACAGCTTTCCCACACAGCTGCCAGTAATTCTCATGGCAAGAAGACCTTTGTGCTGGGGACTGACACAGCCACGCTGTGCAGTGACAACACCCACTGTTCTTTAACTGTATGGGGAAGTGCTGGGCAGAGGGACTCATCCATCTCACAGAAACACATCATCTTGCTTTCTGCTACCTCACGCTGTTGTCACTGTCACAGCTTACTAAGCTGCTCCCTGTTACTCATGCCAAAATTCACTGCTGATCATGAGAAGCTTTCCAGTCCCCATATCCTCTTTCCAAAAATCAGCTACTGGCTGCTAGGCACTAGTAAAGTTGAAATTCCTGGTAAAACTCTGAGAGTTTGGTTTTGCTGAGCTCAGTCTTCTGAAGTGGTGAGAGGAACCACAGGATAAACTGAATTACACCTTGGTGCTTCTCCTGCACAACTTGATGTATGGATCTGACTGCTTGATCACAGCACAGATTGAAAAATTGAAACTGCTTTTGGGTGCTTTCTATTAAATCAGCTGCAGTGCATACAGCCATACTGGTGAGTATTTAGAAACATTAAAAAAATAAAAATAAAAGAACAAAGATGAAGCTAGATGCCCTGTTGCTAGTATCTGTGCTGATAAGAAAATGAAGGGATTAAATTCTTTTCCATGTAATGCACTGCTTTTGCCTCACCCCTTTCCTCTTCACCTGAAGGCCTATGATCTTCAAGAGGCAACAGAATGAAAAGCTCTTTCTGCATAGGCAGATGCAATCATCCCTCCTACAAATCTTAATCCATTGGATACTTGGCAGGGTTTCAACAAAGAGCCAAGGGGCCTCCGGTTCCCCCATGCAGAGAATCTGGCCCTGCTGTGACCCTGCAACGAGCTCTGGCCTGCACATTACAGGATAATTTCCTTTCCTTTTCATTCACCTTAAAAGCAAGGTTTAAAATTTAAGGGTTTGTAAAAAAGAGATTCGGTAATACCAGACTTTCAGATAGTCATCAAACCTTGTAGAGAACCAGACTGACAGAATAAATGGAGTAATGCCACTCTGAGAGTTTAACTGTTGGTATCTTAAAGTGAGTGCAATATTATGGAGAGCTATTTGCTTTCATTATTTGGTTAGGAAGTATATTAATTAAAAAAATAGAACAGAATATGTTGGATTTTCTGTCCTCTCGTCACCTTTATCAAGACCATCACACGGTGGCTTTCAGTCAGGGCTATTTTTGGGCACATTCAGAACTTATGCACGGTATCCTCCTTGGAGCTCAGTGAAAATGAATATACATCCCAAGTTAAGCATACAGCTTGTTCCCACTCCTCTCCCCAGGTGAAGCAGGGCTCAGACCGTTTTCTTACCTGGGTATGGCACTCTCCCTTTTGTTACCAGCTCTGTCAGTAGGATGCCAAAAGACCACACATCCGACTTTATTGTGAACCTTCCGTACAACGCTGCTTCTGGTGCCGTCCATTTAATGGGAAACTTTGCACCTAATGAAAGCATAAATGACTCTTAATCAGAATAGAGACAGAACCAAAGTACCTGTTTGAGGGTGACTGTCGTGTCTTGCAACATGTCCAGTAGGATGGAGCTGCAGGTGAGTGTTAACAAACACCTCCACGGAGAAGGGTCAGAGAGGACAGACGAGTGGCACATGTAGGGCAGAAGGAAAGACTCAGCAGGGAAGGGGTGGGCTTGTCCCACATCCCATGAGAAGGCTAAGCCATTTTAGGTTTGAAGAGTTACAAAAGAAAAAAAATGTTTTAAAAACCAATAAGCCAAATATAATAGAAATTATTTCTTGTTTTAAATTCTTTCCCTGTGATACTTGCAAGTCAAACACAGTTAGCATGTATGAACAGAAGTGAGATTTATTAGAAATGTATCCCCCCGTTTCCCTGCTCAAGCTGAGCAAAATGCAAAACAAACAAACATGGTAAAAACGTAAATTAAAAACAAACCTGATATTTCATTAGAGACATGAAAGGACTTGAAAACAACACTGCCATTTGAGTTGCTTGGAGTGCAATGATGTCAAGGCACAACTTCGGCCTGTGATTTATAACCTGACAGAGTACTCTAAGCTCCTGGCACTGACAAGCCTGTAGTGCCTTAAATACGTGCAGTTCTAATGTGCTCATCCATCATCAGAGCTTGCAGGAGCCAGTTGTGGTAAGGATGGTAAGATAACAAGCCTTTAAACACTGATTTATTTGCTTTTCCAATCATTTACTGTTTTCTTAGGGAAAATATTTTCAGTATGACTTTAAAGTCTTGTGGTAATAAACTCGTAGTACGTAAGAAAACATACGCAGACATTTCCCTGGTGCCTTGTATTAGCATACAGGCAAAAGAGTTGCGTTGCTTATTGCTGATCCCTAGTGACAAACACTCTCAAATTTGGAAGGAGGAGTGAGGAAAGCGTGACAACGTGGTCAATGCCTCTCAGGGAGTGAAGTTGCTGTTTACAGTTCCCTGCTGGCACTGTTCTGCCATCACATCCAGTGCTTGATGCCCCATATCTTCTGCTATATGCCACAATCTGACTTCATTCAGAGTTCAAAGTAAATGTGGTAATTCTCATCTCCTTACTCAGTAAAATATCAGGTGTGCTAAACTTTTTCTTGCCCTACATGTAAGTGATACTAAAAGAGACTATTACTCAGAAACAAATACATTTTTTCCAGGGAAAACTGCAGTTTCTCAACTAAGTCCTGCTAAATTAAACAAGACTTCTTCATGGGACCAATCTTAGTTTACAAGACTCCAAAATCTGCTTCCTCTTCTCTTAAAATTCACCTTGGCTGTGATGTCTAGGATCTCTGCAGCAGCAGCCTGCCATCACTTGAGCCCCTGTGCCAGAAGCTGTCCCTGCTCCAGCAGCACCAGCAGCCACGTGGGGCTGGCAACCAGCTTCCCCAGTCACAGGCAGATTTGGGGGCTATATACCCCTTGCCAGCCCCTGGAAAAACTGCAAGCTGTGTATATCTGGAGGTTGGGTTCCCTAGGCCTACAGTCATGGCTTTAGATGGGCTTATGCAGGCATGCCACAAATCGGAGGACTAATGTCCCTCTGCTCTCTCATACGTGCAGCTGAGTTAGTACACAAACACCGTGCCAGCTGAGCGAATAGCTCCAGGTTGGCCAGCAGCCTGAAGGCCTGGATGTTGTCTGGTGGTGTGTGAGACAGCCAAGCACGAGAGTTTGCTCGTGCGCTTGTTGCACACATTTTATTCAAATTCTTCTTTTTTTTAAATCAGCTGTGTTTTTCTGAGAAGCTGAGTCAAAGCTGGTCTGGTTCCCTTGTGCTTCATACTCAGATCCAAAGGTCACAGCCACTCACAACTCATCTTTGGAGGAAAGCAATCTCTTCAGACTCGTTTGTGGCCATCTCCTCTGGTATTTTTGCCTTCCTCATCTACTGCTGGTATGGCATCAGGAGGTATTTGGAGTGTCCACAGACCATGGGAAGGTGAGAAGCAAGGTAAGTAGGTGAGAAAGGGGGACAATTCCAGCACACCCCTTTTCCTGAGAGCTAGAGCTGTACAAACCCCATTGGACTATGAGGAGGACCGCTGGAGGAAGACAAATGTCTGTGCTGTGGATTTTCTGATGACAAGATAGCTACTCACTACATTTCTATGCTGGCCCTGCTATGGATGATTTTCTGGCTAAAACAACTAACAAAAAAATCACATGTTGTGAAGGGGAAGGGGAGGTTGCAGAGAGGTCACTAGCAGAGACCTGCTTCATGGTCTTCTGGATGGTTGAGATGGTCCAGGAAAGCCCACAACCCAGTATGGCAGAGCAGAGACCAGTGAGGATGCACCAGGCTGACCATCTGCACACTTAGGATCACACACAGAGTCTGTGTGTAACACAAAGAGATCACACATACGGTTTATGTCAACAAGGATAAAAAATAGCAAGGGTGTGCAGCGCTGTCTGGACACCATCACAAGCTACGTGTGCTTCCAGAAGAGCCCAAACAGGTGGCAGCTCCTATGGCATTGCAGACACAGGCAGGGCACTTCTGTGAAAACCCAAAAATCCCCAAACATGTTGAGCGCTGCTCCAAAGGCTCCCGATTGCTATAGCTATACAAGGCACTTGCACAGGCCAGATGCTGTGCATGGCTCCTGACTGACACAGTCTCTGTACTCACTCTCTTCCCGACACAGCAATTAAAAATCCCTCCCCCTCCCTCTGCAGAGGTCTCAGCAGCTTATTAAACAAGCTGACTTTGTGCTGCAAACAAATTACAGCATCAGATCATCAGATAAAATGTGTATTACTGACAAGCATGTTAATAAATCTGATAAGCCAAATTACCCCAGCTGACAAGGCAGCCTATCTCCTACTTTGAAGGCAGATTTTACATCAGCGGGGAGAAGGTTGTCTCTTTTTTTTTGCTGGAACCCACTTCATTACAAACCAGCAGATCAGTAACTTCACACGTACAAATCAACCATGTACCGTTTGCATTGGGTCAGGATAGCCTGTCTTTGCCCCAGTGCGAGGCACTAATCTGCAGCTTTTATCTCTGGGTTTTGTTTTTTTTTAAAAAAACATTTCAGTCTGGAGAAAGCCTTTTTTGGGTTTCTGCACTGCTTGCGACCACAGCAAGTCAAAGCTGCTTGTACTATTTACTGTTAGGGCAGCCAGCCCTGCCTCCTATCTCTGAGGGATTCTGTGAGGCTCAACCCTGTTTTTGGGGCCTCTGCCCAGGTCGGCCCAGGCATTCACACAGGTTATCTCCCAGAAGGATTTCTTTGGGAAAAATCAATCCCTGGCCCTGCTGTAGTTCCTCGTCGGCTATAAGCAAGTTGTGTAATGAGAAGAAGCGGAGGGGGCTGGGATAATTGAGTGACCTTGACGTACAGCTCTCAGCATGGTTTCTTCAGAGGTGAGTGAAAATCCCTCAGAGCTTTGCTTTTTCAAATCTAAATCTCGATGAAGCAGAAACCTCTGAAATTCATGCCCCAGAGCCACTGCCAGCTTGATAATGATCCTGTTTCCGGAAATGAGACAAAGCTGCTATCTCTCGTACCTTAATACCAAAACCAACGCAGCACCCCAAGCTCTAAGACCCAAAAGCATGGAAACTCTTGGGTTAGTGACCAGAGAACGTAGTGCAGCAGTGAATTGCTCCTGAGGCTGGAAAGGGAAAGCCACAAAAGGTAAAAATGAAGTGCTGAAGCAAGCATGTAATAGGAAACTAGTCAGCCCTGGTAGGCGATGATGAGTGCCATGTGGGAGGGACTGTGCAATTACCTTTTTTGTGCTGTGAGAACGAACATGAAATTACAAGCCTGGAAAACCATCAGTGATCAGAAGCAGGCTCTGCAGGCTGACTCTTCCCTGGGAAATGAGGGACAAGGAGTGGAACTGTGGGTCTAAGTACCCCTCTCACCCTCTGCCTGCACGCCTCCCTTCCCCTCACCCTTCCTCTTGACCTGGCTGTGCTCCTTCTCGCAGAGCAGATGGCATCTCCGTAGGAGCGTTTCAGTGATCCCCCTCCGGGACCCCGGGCGCTGGCTGCTGAGAAACAGGAGTCCTTCCTCCTGTCTGCTCCACGGCTCGCCTGGGGACCGGCAGGCAAAGAGCAAGAACAAAGCCCTGGACATTACGGCCCTGCAGTACAGTCAGTCGTGAACAAAAGGGATCTGAGTGGCTGGTGAGATGGGAGCCAAGTCTCCACAAAAAGAATGAGGAGAGCCTGGAAGAATGAACATCCCCATTCATTTCTAGGAAATCAAAATAAGAAACTTCACTCGTTTTTAAGCAGGGTGGGAAGGAGGAGATATTTCTAAGTGTTAAGGAGGCAAAAATGATCTGAGAGTTTACAAACACATACTAGAGCTCCCAAAATAGCTCTGAATTGTCTGGAATGCATCAGAAAGATCCTTATTGTTTCATGTGTGCTTGGAGTGGCATTGCTGCAAGTGCTGCCAGTGTAGGCAGTAGAAACAAGGCCTGGAAAAGAACTCTGCTCTTTTTTTGTTAAGGCAATTTTAAATTTGTATCAGCTGCTACTGCTTAGAATAGTAACAACTCTTCCCCAGCAACTCTGTGGAGCACTCGGCACTCTCCACAAAAATGCCGTGTGCTTGGCCAAAACTCCACATAGCTCTGTGAACCAGATCAGCATAAGGATAGCAGAACTGCATGGGAAATCCTGTGTTGGAGTTGATGGGAAGTTTCTCTCTGTTCTGTAGGATATCAGAGGTTTTAAGGCCTGACTTACAGGGCTGACATAAGCTTCGTCACTGGTGGAAGGAAACGAGACTGAATGCCTGACACTGTGTGTGGGGGAAGATGTTGTAACAGCAGCAGCCAAAAGAAGCAAGCCCTGATGGTGCAGGCTGCAATACAGTCCACCAGTGTAGTCTTTAAAATGGACGTCACTTTAATAGGCATGTTTTTCCCCTTTGATTATTCACTTCCTCTAAAAGCAAGAGGAGCCAAATGCTCATTACAAGCCAAGAACTTTTTTTTTTTGTATTATTTAATGGCAGTGTATAGCTGCTAGTCACACACTTTAAATCATTAGTGGCGTGACCATCTCTTTCCTTCCTGACAATTGCTGAGAAATGGCAGTGCAGACAACGAACCGCTTTTTATTTAACTCTCATAAATCAGGAGCAGCCAGGCCTCCTTTGTTCAAATCAAAAAGAAAATAAACCGGTCAGTAAAACATTACCACCAGGCTGAGTAATACCCGCACAGGTTCAGGAATCCTGCACTCCAGCCCGCTGGGGCTCAAAGCATCCCCATCTGTTTCCTTTCAAAACATTTAATCAGAGACAACAGTGACAGTGGGGGAAGGGAGCAGGAGATCAAGCAAGGCTGGAGAAAACCACCTCTGCCCCACACCGACAACGAGCTCTGTACTAACACTCTTAAGCCAAGAGAAAGACGACTGCTGAGGAATGACCAAAGGCCTTAATCTTCAGATTTCATGAGGCAAAACACTTTCTCCCACAGGAGCTGCCAGTCTGGACCGCTCCCCATCCCCCTCCCCTCCACTGGCCAGGCTCTCCTCCCATGTCAAAATTCCCAGTGAAGCAGTAGTCAGCTAGATAAACAGAGCAATCCCCAGATAGATCCCCTTGGAGGCTGAAGTAATAGGTCATGGGAAACAAGCGGAGGCAACCATTTCCTTCTGATACTGTGGTCTCCACCAAGTAATGCTCAAACTGCAGTTTAACTAAACAAACCAGGTCTGAATCCCACTGGAAGAAAAATTCCAGTGGCACATTAGAAACCATGTTTCTTCCTCAATAAATTAAAGGTCCTAGGCTCACCCTGGCTGCCCAGCTGGCTTAGAAGCCAAGTTAATTGCAGTGAAATGTAAATTCAGAGCGTGCTGCTTGGTCAAAAATGCACCCCTCCCTAGAACAATCTACCACTTAAGAGAGGGTCAAAAATACATTAGCGAAAGTAGGAAAACCTTTCCACAGGATGCCTGTGATTGCAGCTCTTTGTGTCTCTCTTTTAAGGAATTCTGTAGCTCTGAAGGGCTTAAGCCTGACCCTGAGGTTAGGGGAAGGAAGCATTGCCCATTGCCCTGAAGTATGGGAAGAATGGGTGACTTCTCCATTCTGGCACCATGACATGAAGCAAACACAATTCAGCTCTCTTGATCATCAGCAATGCAGGTTAAAAGCCAAACTACTTCTCCCTTCCCAGCCACTTTTTCCACAATACAAGTGATTTCTGCTGTGGGTGACAGGCAGGAAATACCCACAACTATGCTCCCTCTCCCTGACAGTCCTTGTGGTAACTGAGCTTTCCTCAGCTCAAAGTTTTCCCACCCAAAATGCAATCATTTTTATTGTCTTAAAATATCTAAGCTTCCCCTCAGCATCAGTCAGGCAGGTTTTCACAGCTTTCTAACATGAGAAGAGGGCAAAACTATTCTGAGAGATTTAAACCAGGAAGCAAACAGGTCATCAGAGGATTTCCTAGGGATCAGGAGCCTGAAGAAATCTGGCCAGAAGTAGGTCACATACTTGTCTATTAAAACAAATAATTAGTCATGTCAAACTATACGTTGGGTGATTTCCAAAGGGAACAAAAGACATGGCAGTATACCAGACAGAAACAGAGATAATACAGGACAGTTTCAAAGCCATTTTGCAGACTGGGTCTGGGTGCCTTGCTCAAGGAAAATGGTTCTTGTTTTACAGAGGGGAAGGGCCAGCAGGCAGCTTTCTGTCTACCAGAGCCTGCAGACACTCTGCTTACTCTGGAGAGAATGGCACGAGGCTATTTTTTCTAGTAAGGAGCAACTCCCACTCTCAGGCCGAAACCAACAGTGGTTAACTCTCAGTATTAGTACTTACCATGGATTCTTCAAGGTTTCCCCCATCCCCTTCAAAATAATCAGGCCTTGCCTTTCAAGTGTGAAGCAGGCAACTTTTAGGGTGGACGCAGCCTGTGGTCCACATCCCTGCAACTAGGTACTGCTGACAGCAGTTGAGAGGGGTGTGAACCGCGTGAGAGCTGTTGCTCCCAGGCCAACACAAGGTGTGCTGGAAACTCTCTGGCTCCTTCTGTCAACACTTGAGAGTTACAGAGAGTAACCTACTCTCTCCTAAGAATTAATGCCAAAATCCATGCTGAAACAGGGACTCCTGGTCAAAAGAAAAAACTCACAACAGGAAGGGGTAAATGCAGGTTCTGAAGTACTTAGCTGACCCGTCCTTTCTGATGACATACAACAGAGTTTAATAGTACACTCCTCGGCTTTGGCACTGAAATGGACGGAATGGTATTTACTGACACAGATTGAGCAAGCGCTACCAATGTACTGCCAACAGAAAGAGAACAAAACTGTAGCCCTGCAAACTTGGACCAACATCTGACAACTAAGCATGACTTGTAAAGAATGGCTAACTACAAAGAGTCTGTGTCATGGCTCAGTCTGAGCACACACATGCTTTTTAAAAAAGGCTATTATACTCGTTGATACATTTTTGTAGTGTATCAGTGGTTGGCTGTGCCCAGCACTTTGTGTGGCACTGGAAAACAGTTTTCCTATTAAAGTAATTTTTAAGTTCCAAAACAAAACATAGTGCTCAAAGAGACAGCTCCATTGCATAGATACACAATTATTTGACCCGTTTGAAATAAAGAAAAGAAGAATAGCACAGCAATGATACTACAAGGAACACTACAAAAGAAATAGCTTACATAGGCTTTTCTGGATTACCCCATTTAGGCTTTCAAGGCTGGTAAGTAAAGTATCCTCTTTGTTATGGCACCATGAGGATCCTGTCTTTACTGTCACTTCACACACCTGTGGTCCCACTCATCATCTTTGTTTCATTGTGGTCAATGTTTAAAGGGATGACAACTAAATAAAACATTCTTTTCAGGACATGCATTCATCAGTGAAGTTTTGGGCTAGGAGTCAATATGAGTTCAGGATTTACTGAAAGCAACTCCAAAGCATATGAGAGAGCACTTTTAATAGCCATGTTCCACTCTTCTCCTGTCACAGGAATGACACTCAGTGCAACGCCTGCTGCTGTATCTACCTTGTCTGGCTGTATATTCGTTGTCTTCTATCAGTCTTGCCAATCCAAAGTCAGCAATCTTGCATATTAGGCCATTCCCCACCAGAATATTTGCAGACCGCAGATCTCTGTGTATGTAATTCATTCGCTCGATGTACGCCATTCCTGCAGCCACCTGCAAGAAGCACGAAACACAGTTGGTGCAGTTTAAAATGAACTCAGACGTACACATATACATATGTAATAAACATATACACCTAAATGGCCAATACTCTGAAAACATACCTGGGCTGCCATGTCCACCAAATTTGGTAACTTCAAAGCTCTTCCTTCTCCATCTTTTAAGAAATCTAGCAAACTCCCTGCAAATGCAAAGTTGACACAATAGAGGGATGTTAGGGAAACAATGGCTATTCATCAGGATGGAGGTGCAGCAATATGTGCTGTTAATAAAGACAATATCTTAGAAATCTTGTTTCACTATGCTTTAGTTTTGGCTTGCAGAATAATATGTCACTAGTCCAAAGACAGTTGCAGGGAAAAAGAAACAACATTGGTTTTAATTTTCCTGACCATTACTGAGAAAGCTGATCTTCCTTAACTTCTCCAGTGCTCTTTGAAACAATGTACCTGCTGCTCTCTAAAGGCCTCGGCAAGCTGTAAAGCATCAGCTCAGGTCCAAGGCACACAAGCTATGGAAAAAGTCAGAACCCAGCTCAACCTGCTCCAAAAGAAAGGTCAGCCTGGAGCCTGGTAAGCCCAAAGGGGCTGGCATTAACAAAGGCTAATTTTCATTAGAAATCAGTAGTAGTCCTTCTCTAGGTAACACATAACTAAATGTATCATGAACCATTAATATTAGAAGCCCACTATGCAAAACTAGAGAAGACAAAGCAGAGATCAAATGAAAGCAATTTTAGCAAAAGCAGTAAGGACGTAGCTCCCCTGTGCAAGAAAAAGCAAGGAGATTCCCAGTAGCTTTTTAAAAAAGACTAAGAAGCTATAGCTCCCTTCCCAATCTTGTATTCAAACAGAGAAGTGTGTCAGTCTCCTTTAAATAAGGTCAGTGAATTGCTTTAATAAATAAGGGGAAAAGACAGATGATTAGGCGTTTCTCCCTTGATAAATTGTCAGCCTCAAGCTCAGATCCAAAGATGTAAAATGTTACAGTAAAAACTAGTAAAGCATGCCAAAACAAACCACGTACTTCAGAAGGATTTTGAGAAGTCTTTTTTTTAAAGGGGAGAAAGCACATGCTTGTCACTGAGAAATATGATTAAAGTGTGAGTTAGTCAGGGCTTAGATGCCTCTGAGGAGGGAGGTGGGCAGGTACCTGCCAGGAAAATAAAAATCAACTCCAAATAGACTGAAAAAAATGCACTTAAAATTTCAGAGTGCATCCTCCAATGTACAATGAAACTTCCTTGTGAGAACTTATGTTTCCTATTTGGTTCATTTGCTCTTCCAAAACAGGCAGATTTTTTGCTCTGCTCTCAGCACCCCTGCTGGAGATCTGACGGAGTGAAAAGTTTTCCTTTTCTCATTTTACTATATCGTTACCGGTTAAGTAGCTTAAAGAGAAAGAGAAGGGAGAAGGGGAAAGGCAATGGGAAAAAGGTGGAAAGAATCATATATGCCAATCATGTATTAAAATGATTAATGGGGTTGACTGAAAATTAAGGTGTGATTTGGGAGTGAGATACATGCAGTGGAACTCAGGACTGCTGAAAGAAGAAACAGAAATCTTAGACCAACAAGTAAACACTGAAATAAGATGTCACATGAAATCTCTGGTGCCAGGAAAAGCTAAGATCTTGGGAAGCAGCATGCAATTTCATTCAAACCTAGAAAATGCAAATCTCCACTTGTCAGGGAAGTTTAGACGCTGATGCAGTTGGAAGCACTTAGGCTGCACCAACTTCTCCCTTCCCCACCTAGTGCAACTTTTCTCTGTACATGTAGTGGATTTCAGGTTTTGGGCCCAGTTCAGAGTTGAAATCATAATTCTTTTGAAGCCAGAGGTGAGTTTAGCTTCCTGTTCCCTTTCCTTCCTCATGCATCACACTGCATCTCCCTGCGTATCCCCAAGGAGCATCAACTAAATAACCCAAACATTGTTATCAAGGGCAGTAGCTCTGGCTTCACCTTTGCTCATGTACTCCGTGACAATATAGATAGGTTCTTCAGATACCACAGCATAAAGTTGGACCAGTTTGTCATGTTTTAGCTTCTTCATGATTTGGGCTTCCTCTAAGAAGGATTCTGGAGACATAGTGCCAGGCTTCAGGGTCTTGATAGCCACTTTAGTATTTCCATTCCATGTACCTACAAGCACAGATACTTAGTTAGATGGAACATCATCTGCTCCTTTTTCTGCCCGATGTCTAATGTAACCAAAGAATAAACTAGCAAAGACACTTAATATAATATTTTTTTTTAAAGTGTGGCTTCCCATGTTGGCTTATCATTATATTCCTCCCACACCTCCCTCATATTTTAGTCTTTTTCTATTGTACTGAGAAATAATACTCCCATTGGCACTGGGGCACAGTTGCTGTTGTCCTACTCAGACAGTGCTTCCACTGATGCCCATAGAAACCTTCTCTGAGTAAGAAACAGGACTGCTGAAACCCATCTTCAGGTATTCCCTTGCTAGCAAGTAATTGCTGCAGACAGCAACACAGCTAAAGTCACAGATTTGGATAACAAAACTGGCTAAACCCAGAACTTTCCATTTGCAAGACATTTTAACATTTTGTTTAAGAATACTCTAAGAAAAATTGCCAAGAAACAAATTCTGAATAGATTTCATTTTAGAAACATGGGTGTGTCTCCAAACTGAAATGCGTCTTTTTCCTTCCTCTCTTCTTCCCCAGAAGCCCAGCAGCTGCTGATTGAAAATGAGGTGGTTCCTGTCCACTTCACTTTGTTCTTAACTTGTGGTAAGCACTGAAATGGACAAGTTGCATCATTTTTCAGCCTTTATCTACCAAGCCTTCTGTAACACCTGAAAGCCTGAAAAGAGCTGGAGAAGGCTGACTCAGGGGGTGCCACAAGATGTGGGGCTTCACTTGGTTATTTGGAAAGGAGAGAAGGAGGACTGGAAAGAAAAAAAACACAAAACATATGTTAACTGGGTTTTTTTGGTATGGGGACTGGGGAAAAGAAAGGAAGGAAAATTAAAATGTACAGAAAAATAATTTTCCTAGTGCTTGTCCCTTACCCAGATTTGCCAGAACCCTGCACCAGAGCAAGGGCTGAAATGGCTTTGAACAGGACCTGTGATCTATTGACAGGGAGCTGCTGTGTGATAAGGCAGAACAATACTAAATGCCTTCAGGAATTAATCACATTGGGTAAACATTACTCCTATACCCTTAAGGATGAGGACAGCAGAAGTACAAAGTACATGAAGACTCAGACTCAGATGTAGTTTCTATAAATTGTCAACAAAAAAGGTAACATATAAAACAAGCTCTGTTCATCTTTGTTAAAACCTCATTAACAGTTACTGGGGCTCAGCTGCTGCATGGGAACTGTTTAAGCCAAAATAACATCATCATAACCTTTTGCAACCTGCCAGAGCATAAAACAAGCTGGATTTTGTGCAAGTGGTCAGGTTCCAGCTGCCACCTCACCTAGCCAAGAACAGGGGAGGAGCAGTGGAGGAGCCACTGCCTCTGTCACCCCTCAATTACAGGGCAATCCCTGCAGCAACACACGATGCTGTCTGAGGCGGGGCTTGAGGCACATATTAGCCACAAGTGTGCAGTGCAGGTTCATTTTTCACTGCACCTTGATTTTCTTCTGCCAGCTCAGTGCCCGGTGCTGTCACCCCTACCGCTGGTGGAGTAGTGTCTTGAGATACTACCACTGCTACTCCACCGCGCTTGAGTTTCATTCAGTCCTACAAACCAGGACTGAAGCAGGACTTTGCTTTAGTGGCACTCCCGTGTAAGCTGGGAAGGATGTGTTTTCACCTCCTAATTTCAAGGAGGGTGGCCAAAATATTTTCTGATGGGTGAAAGGAAGCGTGATTTATCTGGAGCCACTGAGGCTCTGGACTGCAGAGTGCTGTCTGTCACAGCCTCTTTGCAGAGGTACCACAGATTATATGAACCAGGAATGAAACCCTGCTTTCATGGGCACAGGGGTTTCTGTCCCAGGCATTAATAAGCTAGGATTTTACCTGCTGTGTGAACAGGATTAACTGTGTAATATCTGTTTGCGTTGCTTTAATAAAAATCCCAGGACTCATTCTATTACGATGAAGTGTTTTCAGCAGTTCTATTTTTAAATACTTTTATGAGTTTCTCTGGTTTAAAAAAATAAAATCAAGCAAAAAGGGGTTAACTTATCCTCTCAGCCCAGATTTCAGTTTAAATTGTTAAATTTTCTTGTTGTGGTTTGGTAATTTTCTCTCTAATAGAAAATAAACAGAGACCTCCCTCTGAATTCCTCCCATATGTAGTTAGTTACTACTTAATACTTTAAAATTAATTTTTACCCTGTTAATTATTCCAATTTAGTAATGCTTCACAACTGTTAAAATATTTTTACTATACATTACTTTAAGAAACATAATATCATAATTATAATAATAATTTTTACATTTCTGACATATTTGGTACTGATACTTGTCACTGTATTTCTCATAGCTGATTTTTTTTAAAAATTGCATTTGTTACTTTAGCTTGTAACAGTTTAAGATCTATGGCACACAAAGCTGACCATTAAGTATTCACATCGACCTGAAACTCTTGCATGCATTCAACATGGAGAACAGGAAGATGAGACTGCAGTTATCTGGGGATGCTAATATAAAACACAGGTAGTTTTCGTTGCAACAGGTTAACTGTAATTCTGTGAAATTGCATAAATTTCTATATTTGTAGTCTGTAAAGTCTATAAATTTCACAGACTTGCTGCCATGCTCCTTGATGTAGTCTTGCAACAGAAAACAGCTGTAAGAGTCCAGGAGAGCCCACTGGTTATTTTGGTTGTACATACTTTTGTGTCACTGCAACAAGAAGAGTGGCCAAACTGCTCCACCAAATGCTTCTGATGTAAAGAAACAACATTTAGCAATTCTTTATTTGAATTGGTCATTTTAAATAGGCTACACAGAATGCAATTTGGCACAAAAATTGAGCCACTATATTGTGTTTCAATGCTATGGCTACATTAGATTTATGTATATTTTAAATTGCCATTGTTTTATAATCATTAAAAGAATGAGGCCCATAGCAAGGGGAGTAGTAAGTAAAGCTGGCAAGTGTGTAGAAAACAATGTCAGTGGATTTGGAAAACGTCAGTATTTCTGGACTTCAAAGTGGAGGTTCAGCTGGGCTGGGCAAGTCTTGCCTTCATTGTCCCATGTCTCTGTATCGAGTTACGGGCTTCTGCTGCAGATACAAATTTCAAAACAGACTCAAAGAAGTGGATGCATGGGAAAGCTAGCTTGACAATATCAGCTTGCTGACACTTGGGAGAGTGGATGGAAGCATTTGCAGGGTCTGAACCCATCAATGCTAAAACATATGAGGAAATAAAAACATCTACTTACCAGATTAAATTCTGGTTAGCCATTCTGCCTTACAAGTTTAGCATTATTCCTATTTTTATACCTAGCAATTGTGTAGTCACCCAAATAAATGCAATGCAATTCATGAAGTTTAATGCCCTAACCTCTCATACCAGTGTGTGCAAATGAAAGGAAGCTTCCCCAAGGATTACTGTATTTAGGTCTGACTGTTAGAGGTGATACAGACCAATATTTCGTACCATGCTGATCTTTTAGCTTTAAGATCTCTACTTGAAATGTTTATTTCTGCCAAGAGGGTCTTAAAAGATCCATCCAAAGCAAAATATATTCTCTGCCTTACCACGCCACACTTCAGCGAAACACCCCTGACCAAGCTTCTGTTCCAGAAATAATGAATCACGTGCAACTTCCCATGCATCTTTAGCCAATCCAACAGTTTGTGGGGTATTATTCGTAGCAATCACAGTTAAGTTAAAACACAAACCATCAGCTTTCTCTATAGGAGAGGAAATTAATAAAAAAAACACACTTATAATCCAAACTTATGCATGCATTGAGAAAGATGGAAGGTGACTTGTCTCTCAGTGCTGCATTAAAGTTCATTTGCAAACACTGATTTTTGGATACTGAGGGTCAGGACTTTTTTGATAGCTTCCAGAAAAAGGCTCCTTGGTATAATTAATAGATGACCATGTGAGCCTTGATTTATTATTAAAACAGCGCTAATTTGTCAAAATCAAAACCTTCCAAGAAAACATGGAATTTCAGCTTTCTTTTACCATCAATTACAGTAAAAGTTGAAGATTAAAGTATTTCAAAGTCAAAGATATGTTTCCAAAGGTACTTTTCTGAACAGCTTGAGCTTTGCTTATTTTTTCTTGTGGGTCAAAATGTCCTGTATTTTCACCTTCCATCTTGCAATCCCCACACAGAGAGCTATTTTAGAATAATTATTTTGCTCCATACCCATCCATACTTCCCCAAACTGCCCATTTCCCAGTCTCTTGATCAACTGTAGGGATTCTCGTGGAATTTCCCAGACATCTTTGGTTTTGACAGACAGATCAGTAAGCCTTGGCATTCCTTTATGACAGGGGACTACTAAGCGGCAGCAAAGACCTGCAGCTCTCTCTGATGGAGCCAGAAGTGAAGCCAACAGCAAAGGAGAGGAAAGAAAAAAAAGTGTGACATGAAACAAAAACAGTAAGCATAAAAACAACGCTACTCACAACAGCTGTTAGTTGCATACCACAAAGCAACCTGGAAGATTAGAAATTGAACACTGAAACATATTCATTTGAGACAGAACAGGAAATATTTTAGTCTCTGCTTCCACAGCCTGAAATGGAAGGTGACCGCAAATGGTTTCTCTTGTGGACTCAGGATTTCCCTTCTCCCATAATACTGTGTTAAGATACCTTCACAAGTAACTGGTACACTATAGTACAGTATAACTTTTAAAAAATCATCTGTATGTCACAAACTGGATTGCTTCTGAACTGAGTAAAAGAAACACAGAGAAGATTTACTTTTTCTGAAAATCACAGCAATGAAAATTTGGTGGACTTTGTTGCTAATTTTTCTTCCTAGGTATCCTGGGAAAAGGTATTTTCTATACGCTGCTCTGAAAAGGTGTTTTTCTAGGTGTCCTTTTAAAGGCTTTTTCTGCCATTCTTTATAGCATATGCAGCCAGTCCTACATTGTTTGGAGCAGATTCATTATCCTTGTCTCTTGCAAAGCTTCACAGAAAAGTGAATTGTGAAAAAAGTTACAAGATATTTTGGTAGGAGTAAAAACAATTATATATATATATGGTACATATATGTATTGTTGTGTAGTATACTATGCTGCACAAAGCAGACTGCAATATAAAGCTTGCACAGCGACTTGTATCTTAAAACAGCTGCAGCAGAGCAGAACAAGACAGGGAACGACAACTGTATTTCAGACTCAAACATAATCTTCTTTCTCCAGTGCAAGGTTTCTTCTTGGGCAGGTGAACAGTTTGTGTCAGCATCACACCTCCTCAGCACAAATGTTGTGGGATGGTGGGGAAGTACCTACAGACACCCTGACTTGGGCTTCGTTGTGTCTCCCGTAGCAAGACAACAAAGGCCACAAAAGAGGGAAGATAAGCTGACCAGTTGGCATGTCTTCCTCCAAGTTAATTCTAATGAGAACATTAGGAGAGGGACTACTCAAAATATGGATAGTACCTGGAAAGTTTCCTTATGAGTTTGGACAGCTGCAGAAAGAAACTGGGGGTTTTTAAAACCTCCTTGTTTCTTTAACTGAAAAAAGAAAAGAAAAACTTTGACATGCTGGTGCTGCAGTTAAATCTAGTCTGCACACACAGGAGCTTATGCTTGACAGGGCAGCTGCTAGGGATTGGATGAATGGTGCTTTAATTTCACATGTGCTGTTATTGGGCTTTAGCCTGATGTCAGGATACCCTGAAGATCTCAGTATTTTTCACTTGTAAATCTCATCTGCAAAAGCCCAGACCCTGCAGTTGGTTTTATCACCCAGGTAAGAAGAGGCTGGGATAAGAGGGAAGTCTGGGTAACGAGGGTACTCGGCAGTGCAATGGGATACCCGTGCTGTGTCTGCACAGAAGTACACTTTGTACTTCCAACTCCCAACCCAGGACTGCTTACAGGAGACCAAGCTGCACTACCTGGGTAGCCCCGTTTCCAGATGCCTGGACAGGACAGGCCCTCCAGCCTGGACAGCTATGGGTTGAAGGCTGAAGGGTGAGCTGCAGAGCATACCTGTCCTGCTGTATAGACACTGACCTGCAGTCTCAGCAGTGGTTCTTCAGGAGCCATCTGACCTTTATGGAGTCATTTGGACACCTTTGAGCTCTCCCTAGAAGTAAATCCAGGCACTCACAAGGCATTGCGCTAATCTACCTCTCACAATCCAGAGTGTGGAGCAGGGGGTTAGAGGCCCCCTTTTATGTTTTGAGTCACCTGGGGCTGGCATGGAATGAGGGCTCCTGTGTTTACCTGGGTCTGGAGACCACAGGTGAAACCTCTGGAGTGTGGGACTGTACCACATCCTCCTGAGCTACCCTATCCAAATCCTACTGATTATCCCTCTGTGTTGGACAGAAATGGCTGCTTCCAGATCTGTTTTTGAATCTGTCCATGGAAAATACATGACCCAAATAATTTGACCACACAAAAACTAAAAGTTGACATATACCAGTTGGTACAGTGGGGTTGGAAATTATCTTCCTTAGATGTGGGTTTTTATACACTATTTATCTTAGTTTAATGTAGAGTCACCAGAAACAACTACGAAACCTCCCAGGCAGCATACATCCATCAGAAACTGGGCGGAGAAGACAGCCAGATGTCCAGTATGAATAGCATAAGAATACAGCAGACAGAATACAAAGAATACAGAAAAAACACCCCATGGAGAAGCTGATTTCCCAAGTAGAAAATATGAAAAGTTTTTGAGCAGTGAGCATTTGAGGTCATCTGTTAATATTATGAAAAGCTAAAGGAAAAAATAAAAAGGAAAATAATTTAAAATATGAATTTCTGCTTTAAAAATGACCATGTTGAGAAGTATGGCAATCTTCTACACAAGAATGAATGACCTGTGCAGGTGTTTGGAGGACTTTAAAGTTGTGTCTATTGTATACCAACCCCCAGTGACAGCAGGGTGCACTTTTGCATACCATGTTCTAATCATAGGAATACAAAAAAAAAAATAACTTGGTGGGTGGACACAAACAGTGTGCATAAAGAAACACCCACCTTGCCATATTTATTTTAAAAATTAAACTGATTATAATTTAAATGTTAATACTTTGCACATTGAACACAAATCCAGTGGGAATTTTTGAGTCAGTTAATATATGTAAACCTTTTGGTCATTTCTTTAAGTGACTGAATTCCACAATACAATTCCCTATTTGCTTTATTAGCAATATTGTGCTGCAAAATGGTACTCATTAGCACTCGCTTTTGCACAGGAAATACAGGCTTTGAGATGTGCAAGTCAAATTCAGTAATTCTGCTTGCTTAGGAGAGGGAGAGCAGGCAAACTCTTTACTTCAATAGAGTGCTAGCTTTTAAAAGCTCTGCTGCTGTACACTGCCAACAGCACTCAAGGCCATTTATAACTGTAATGGGAAAGGGATAATGGAAGATGTGTTACAACAAGCAGGAGACATAGCTCAAATGACTCTTTAGGGCATCTTACACATACGTCAGCTCAGCAGCAAACACTTTTGTTTTACGATACTTAAGAGTGCCATGTATTATCTGAAAAATTACCTGAATAATGCTGAACCAGCTGCTGAAGAGTTTCAAACTGTGCCCGAGTTGTGATATAATATCCACCATTGTCAAGTTTACGAATCTTATAATGTTTGACATGATCTCCTTTCATATCATCCCAGTCACGAATAGACAGGGAATAGGCACCTGTTCCAAGAAAAGGAGAAAGAAAAAATTGTAAGTAGCTTTTAGATACAAAGATTTGTTTGCTGATCAGTTGTTACAGAGTGAAAGAGAAATGGCTTCCAAAAAATGCTTACTGTACTTTGAAAAAGAAGAAGAACCTAACACAACCAAGTAAGTATCACAGAAACCTTATAATGTGCAAATCATGTCCCTTTCATACTTCTCTAGAAAGAAATCAGGACTTCTGTGTAAAAGAAAAATCGTATTTTAACATTTACTACTTCAGGTTGTTAAACTGAGTTTTCCTATTCTAAGTGGCAGGTTATACTGCAAATACTATACTTTAGGTAAATGCCAGTGGGTGGTAAATATCAAGATTTTCATAGGAAGCACTGGAGATAATGACTTTATATATGTGTAGTGTTGTTACCCAGATGGATCCCAAACTTCTTTATAAACATTAAACAACCAAATTAGCAAACGGTGCACGTCACAGTCTTTGGAAGGTGGTACTACACCAAGACTGTGTACCAGGAGACTGTCAAGAACTGCATGTTTCACTTTCCACATCCACACTGGAATTTTAGAGCTTACTGGTGGGATTCAGATACCCAAACACAGGGATTAAATGCCATATAAGATGCCCCAAGATGTCTCCTCAGGAAGAAGTTTCCCTGACCATGTTAACCTGCAGTAGGCTGTGCTGGTGGGTGGCTCGCTGCCGAGGGAGCTGCAGCGACCAAAACGTCTCCACCCTGACTACAAGGACTTCTCAGATTCCCTGTTGTTTGTCTTCTAAATAGGAAGAAAAGAGCCAGCACTCACACAGATGATTCTGGTTTATGCAAATAGAAGACACCCTGAGAGGAGTGACAGAGTTTTTATTTCGAAGTGTGGAAAAATACAGTTTGTTTAGGATATTTTTCTGAGGAGGTTCTCCCCCTGAGTAAGTACATCTCTCTGAGCTAGGAGTTCGTAGCTTTTTGGGGATTTGCAAGCACATCTTGTGCATACTCTGTACCATCACTCTGGCTTGTACGCTGTCAGCCTGTTCTCAAAATTTTCCAGGCAGTGTTCTCCACCTCCACATTTGTGAGTTTTGATCCCCTGGCAGCAGCTGTATTGTCTTTAGACATGCTCCCTGCCTATCTGGTCACTATTTTAGATTCTTTAGGAAAATGTAAACAATCTGTGGCTCCAGGTCTGCAAACAGAGCTATGTGGGTGGCCCCCTGTGGACCCCCGCTGACCTCAGATCAAGTTGCAGGACCAGAGCTTTAGTTCAAATCTGGACAAAAACAAGAACCAAGATGGATTTCATTATTCATTTCTTTAGGCTGCTGGTTATTTATACTATTCATCATTATCTGATGATAAATTCAAATATAAGAGATATACATAATAAAAATTTGGAAGGAAACAAGACATTACAATATGTCATACTAATGATTTTTTTAAAAAAGAAAACAAACCTAAAACCAGACAGCCTTGGAGAGTGGAGATTGAAACCAGGTGAAAGATTATATAGACAAGAGCTGATGAAGTACCTGGGTAGTCAGGCATTGAAAAACTGAAAAGCCAGCTCCATATGATTTATTTTGGAAGTAAGAAGAGGAGGCAACTATGGTTAAGGGAGGTTAAATTCATGCTGAAGTCATCCACAGTGATACTTTTAACATGATCCTGATTAATTTTATTTTTGCTATTATTTAAAGCAGAGGAGACAATTCCAGGTCACAAAACAATTCCTGCCTCAAGCCCAAGATGACTTGTTGGAAGAAGACTTATAGGAGAACGCAGCATTTGAGCCCTCCCTGCTGACTTTTTTTCTCTCTCATGAACAACAAGCTCTGTCTGTTTTCTTCTAACAACATACTGAAACACTACAAGGATGAGAAGGGAAAAAGACATTTTTTTAAAAAAACACGCATGTTTGGTTTTTTTCCAATGGCTTTGATGCAAACTTAGCCTGAAGATGTAGAAAGCCCTAAGTTCAAATGGAGAGAAATTAATCTTGCTGCTATAAGTCTATCCATGATAGATTACTCCATTTCCCCAATGCTTTTGCATCCCACAAGAAGCTCTGGAAAAAAGCCCTGACTTAGCTAAGTAAACAGCCCTACAAAACATGTCCCCTATCATTGTATAAAAATGGTCAAAACAGATGAAACTGCTAATGTGGTTTAGAGAAACAGTGTCGTGTTGCAGGCCTATAGGAGTGAGCTTTTAAACTCGGCACAGCGTGGAATGAAGTCCTGCTCCTCACACAACAACTGCTGGTGAAAAGGAACAGGTGGAAGCTATTAGCAGAAAAGGAGCAAGTCAGAACCTGTCTTGCTCCTGGTGAGAATGCCTCACTGCGAGATAAGGTATGGTGAAGCCGTGGAGTGACAAGATGGGAAATGAACTGTCTGGAACAACAGTGTGCTTATTGAGATTTTGCACCAGAAACAGTCTTCAGGGGTACTGGTAGCGAAGGAAGAATCCAGTGACTGCAGAGGCCAAAAATGTAAAACTTCTACAATTTTAAATGACAGAACGCAGCATCTGAAGATAGGTCAAGAGGAGGGGGAAGTCGTGCTTCTGTTCTTATAGCCTCTTTACCAGCCATGAGTCCAGCCACTTGGCATGCTAACTCCAGCTGATAGAGTGTGCTCTGATCAAAGCACTGACAAGTCAGTGCTTTAATTACATGAACCATCATTAGACTTTGGAACTTACATGGAATTAATTCCAGTGACTCATGCTTCCCATAGCTATTGTTTTGGATTGCTGGTTAATTGAGAAATGGCCAGTTTTTTTCACTTAGTTGCAGGTTTTGTCCTCAATAGTTGTATGAGTTAGAGAGATCTTTTCACATATGTGAAGCTTTGAATATGATGTTGATAGGCCTCATGAACAAAATGTTAAAGCAAAGATAGCACCCACCAAGAAAACTGGAACTCCTCCAATATTTTTAGAGGGAAGAAGGACAGTACATCCTTCCACTTGACTTCAGCAGAGTGGATACAGTTGAATACTTTATGAATATATTAATTATAAATATTTTCAAGTCTTTTCACTGTTAATCTATGAATTTAAAACGGCAACATCTTTCCTCCCAGGGATCCATAATTTCAAAGGTGAAAGGCCAAAAATTTCCTTAATCTTCTCAAAAGAATAACGAGTACCTCCCTCCCCCCAAAAATCTTGTCTTACATCTTCCAGGAAAGGTTTAAATATTCTGCTTGTTCAGAAGTAAGGAGCAATTTTCTCCAAACTAGACTGGAGATTCCCAGCATCTGTTCACAGTAAGATAGCTGGCTGTGGCTGGACCTGGATATGGATACTGCTTCTTGCAGCCCCATAGCTGCTGCTCTGAAGGACCACTTTCCACCCAACTCCATTGCAATAGCAGCAGCCTCAACACACATGTTGAGTGAGACAGTGTGGTGTTAGGAGTGTGACAGCAGAGCAGAGCACCCTGCCTGTGCATGACTTGCACTGCAGATACTCCAGGTTGAGCGTGGCACGGATTGCACTTGGGCTGTTCTCTGCTTTGAACACTCACACTAAGACCTAGGATGTCCAGACATCTAATTCCCTAGCACACATATATGCTGAAAACAGTATTTCACAAACTTAGCTCAACTTTTTTCATATATCTTCTCATGTGTTGTCAGAATAGCTTTGGCCCACCTACCTTTGGTAGTTTCACTTTCCCGGATCAGGAAGGTACCTCTGGGGTTTCCAAATGACAACAGCTGCCTCTCAGCATCTTTTCGGCCAAGCTTGCCAAAGTACCACCTAAGGCAAACATCAGAAATAGTAAGACAAATGCCACATAGCATTACTAGGTAGTGCCACAGAGTTCAGACAGGGAGGATTATTTGCAGAAACTATGGTTACTTAAGTATATTCAATCATTTTTGTCACGCTGTGTCTCTTTGATTGCAGTGGGAAGCTAATGTGACAAACTGTGGTAGATGTTGTATACGTTGTGCAGTAGCACCTTCCATTAAGCCTATAATCAGTCGATGCTGAGAGTGCTGGTTTGGTGTCTGGTGCCAAAGGCCAGACTTTAACAAAGAGTAAGACTTGGTGAGGGGAAGGAAGAGACATGGAAAAGGGCAGAAAAATGCATCACTGCCGACGAGCAGTATTTTTACAGTTGTTGCTATAAACTACATATTTGACTTACATAGTAATGTATTAGTATTCAGTATTTTTGTTGCAGCACAGCTATAAAAGCACAGTAAAAGGATCAGATGCAACCACTTTACTGCGGTTGTATAAGGCTTTCAGAGTTTCAGTACCTTTTTCCTTCCTGCAGCAATTTTTTTGTTTGTTTTCACAATCAACCAAATACAACCTGAATTACAGACTACAGTAGTAGCTGCTCAGCTATATAAGCTCCTCCAGTGTCTCTTTTATACTGGAAATAATATGGATAAACACAGCACTCCACTTTTCACATAGATATGTCCTCATTATGCTGCCTGCTGTAGGCATTGTAGGCATCCTACCTATTGGTAGGTATTTGTTGATACAGCATGCCCTTTTTAATAGACAATTTGCACACTAATTGACTCCATATGTTTTTATAAGTCAGCTCAGGAAAAGCAAGGGCACGTTTCACTTAAAGCTTGAAATCAGTCAACATTTGAAAAAAGGAAGCAGACCTATGTTTCTTTAGGTTTTCTTCCTTTGTTTTGACACTGAGAAAGCACTGAGCTTGTGTTTTTGTTACTAATTACCTAATTATTTATCAGTGCAGTTAAGAACCGAAATAAAAATAATGTAAGTAATTTGAAAAATCGCTGCAATCAATCAAAACCAACTCCTCAAACCTCCTTCAAATACAGCACTAATATGTCTTTACAATGAAATGAAAACATACTCCTCTGCTTGGATGGAATCGACTGGAGCCACATAATTACTGGGAATGTAACCAGTTTCGCCTGTTGTCAAGGACCGGGCCTCCCACCAGTCTCCTTCCCTGCAGAAACAGAGATGAGGAGAAGTGAGAGCGAGACACAGCTGTAAAGGCAATGATCTGACTTTGCTAACAGCACCTGCAGCTGTGTGGTGTGAGAATCCATAGCAACTCGGCTCTTTACTGCTTCTGAGAGAGCTGTTTGCAGCTAAACCCAAATAATATACATCTTTCTTTACACCTATGATTATTTCAGTGGTGATTAGTAATGCAGCCTTCCAAACGTAGCATAATGGCATAAACAGGCATAACAATCCAGTGAAATCAGGCTTGATTAGGGCTGGATTTGGACTGGAATATCAAAAGCTGTCTCCATAGCAATTACTCTAATACAGACTCTTGAGAGAGCTTATAGAAAAACTGCCAAACTGATCACTGCCACATCCACTGCTAATTTTAAATTTTTATGAGGTTAATTACTGTGAAACCCAAAGGCATCAAAAAGCCATCTATCAAGCCTTAAGCCCTTAAAGATCACACTTGATTGTCTACATTCCCTCTCCTGGTCACCTAGAGAAGGCATCTGAAGCAGTAAAGGACTCTGAGGCATTTTCAATTACTTGCAAAACCCATTCTTCTATAACACTTAAATATGAAGAGGTCCATGCAGGACCATCTTACGGCAGTGTTCCACAGGCTTAGCATCCATTTTTGTCGTACACTGGTGTGCACAGTGGGACATGGTACCGCCCTTCAGACAACGTGTGTTACTGTAGAATGTGTAACTTTAGGATAAATTTATTTCTCAGCTATTTACAGGACACAATGATTTGACATTTAGCAATTTGTATTTCATTCTCAGCACCAGATTCACTGATGTTTAACTCCTAACGCTACTAATAAGCATTCTCTTTTCTATTTCTGGACTGCTTAGAAACTCTTTCTCAGTTCCCCTCTCTGTAAAACAGAGATTTGTTCACTAATTAAAACACTATTCTCAAACATGGCCAGAGAATTCAGCCTCTTCTTTAAGCAAGCAGTTACAGAAAACACATTTTTTAAGCTGTTACTGACAGGAAAGGTTGTGTCAAGCTCTTGCTTTAAATTTTCAACTCTTCTTTAACAGTTTGAAGGAGTATGAACACTATGGAAAACAACTAGAAAACAGCTGTAATTAGTCAAAAGCAGGTGTTTCCAATTCTACAGTTCAAAAAAGTGAAGAACAAGTAGCTTTTCTAAAGGCTGGCAGCTGACCCTATTTTAATCCACTTTGTGTGCATCAGTATGTCAGGCAAATGGCCCTACCTGTTTATGTCCCTAATTTTACCACATCAAGTGGTAAGGCTTCCCCCTTATGTTGGTGTAGAATATTTCTGAGAGATTATGCCATACCGTGGCTGATAAATTGTACCATTGCATTTCTTCTCCTTACTGTACAAAGAGTCCACTAGATGGAGGTATTTTATCATATCTAGGGAGGAAAAAAGCAGTCCCATAGGTGATCACAACATTGGGAACAACCCCCTCTGCTTTGACAGAGAAGCTTAAATCTCTCAAAGCTGCCAGAAAGGAGAAGGAACACAGACTTTTCTGACAGCTCTTAATTTTAGACACCTAACTGAGGTGGGAGGAGATGAGTCAATGTGGGTAGCCAGGGTGGGCAGGAGTGGGGATGCAGGGGATGGCCAAGTGTTTCTGAGCATCGAACTCAGGCTCTGCTCTAAATCACCCCTGCAGGTACCTCTTTTCCCCAGACTGCCCTTGGTATAATTTCAGACTTCGAATTGCAGGGATAACCCCTCTGTACGTCATTTCAGGTATTGCTGTCCTGAGCTTTTAATCCAAAGCACAAGTCAGATTTCAATTGTTGAGAGTTAACAAAAAATCCAAACCCCTCCAAAAAAATTCCAGTCAAACTAGTTTTGTACACATATTCTTTCTGGTTGCAAGCACCACTGCCAGACTCTTAAAAAAATGGGCTTCTTTCCTATCATTTCTGATATAAGTGAAAGAGAGGAAGAATTCTCACAGAAAAGCTGCTTTCTGGAGATTCCCAGCCTGGCTGTCAGTACTCCAGGAGTGTGGTTAGGTCCATGTTTGCAAGCAGAGTTGACTATGATGGGAACTGAGCTTCTCTAATCCTATAAGAAAATCAGTGGATTTTTTTCCTTATTATTTCCTCTTGGAAACCCTTCCTTCAGGCAGTAATTTCTTGCATCAACACATGGACTGCAACTGCCCACACGTGGGGCACTCTCTCTGTCCTACTGATTCCAGCTATGCTTGCTCCGTGAGACCTGGTGAGCACCCCTTGATTTCATCAACCGGCACGTGCAAGGAATTTATAACGTATGGAATTTCTTTTAGTTTCTTTTTCTTTTTTATGGCATAGTTTGCCAAGGTTAGGAAAGCAGCAGGCAACATGAACAAAAAATGGATGATAAGTTAAAAAAGGGGTTTTTGCCAAGTGCTAATTGGAGGTTTAAAAACTGCTGCTCTCTCTGCAAGTTGTAACTGAAGTTTCTGCACTTTCATCTACATCAAAGCTCTTCAGCTTCATGGCTTCATGAAATATTCCACAGAATTACCTGACTTTTTTTTTTCTCCGTTTAATGCACACCGAGCCAACTCCAACCCTGGAGTTGTTCTATTAAAATTAACAGGAGTTGCACGAGGGATGAATTTACCTCACTGTCACACAGTGTAAGAAAGAAAAAAAGGATGAGAGTAATATCACAAAGTCTCTAGAAAGTGACATACTTGGTTGTTAACCCATTTTTACCTTTACATGATAGCAATACTGAACATAACACAGAGCCTTCAACTTTATATTCTTAGCCAAGAATTTCAAGATGTTCAGATATAGGTCAGTAGCACAGTAAGTTTTAGATGTTATTTTTAAATTGCTAAGGGAGTTTTTTCTGTGGGCAGTTAATAAAATTAATTTTAAGTTGATAATTTCCAGGATGGAAGTGTGGTTTTCTTGCCAAATGGAACTGTACATTCTCACTTAACAGAACTTCCTAGCACGTTCTGGCTGTATCACTTACCTTTAAAAGGAAAAAAAAAAGCTTTTAAACTTATTTGGCATGCAAGTCTGGGTAACATCTCTTTTGTGAATCACTTTTTAGCTTGTTTCTGTGTAGAGATACTTGCAGCAGATTGCAAAAAAGTGTCTGAACATGCCTTGCAAAACTTCTGTAACTACTGGTAAAGTACAGAGCTGGTGCTCTCAGTTCTGAATGTGAATTTACTTTGAAATGTAAGCAGCAAATCACAAAATCTAACACTTATTTTTGAAGTAAAGCTGCATGGGTTTAAAAGGTTTTTCAGTAATAAAGCACTTGGCAAAAGTGCACTAAATGCAAAGACATGCAAACCCCTTACATATCTGGAGTATACAACATTCAATTTTACTAATAAAATAAGCAAATATAATTGTCAACATTATAAATTTTAAAATATTAAAAAGCATATTCCCAAGCCTAAAACTTACGAGCTGTTAAGTATTTGAAATTTTTCTCCTTTGTGAAAACTTAAGTCATCTTCTGTTCTTGCTTCATAGTCATAAAGCGCCACAAAAAGAGTTACACCTAAAGAAGAAGATAGGCGAGTTACACTCCATCACAAAAAACAGGAGGGACAGGAGCCTCAAGAGATCAGGTGGCTGAGTCAAACGTAAACTATTCTGGTTGATGAGGAGCAAAATAAACTGAAGTCTCCCACTTTTTGGTCAACCAGTGTAACCCCTGTGCTTTTATGCAGCCAGTGGGTACACCACCTCCTTCACTCTGTACAGTCATCAGTCCTCTTGGGTTGGTAACCACACACAGTGCAGGATCCCAAGTGACCAAAGGGGATTTGAAGAGAGGGTTTAGACATGGCCACGCCAAGTATTTCCTGTTAACTGCTTGAGGTGGCCCAGACCACACTTTCCCTTCCCTGGCAGAAGGATGAGGCAGGTAAGCAGGCAAATTAGGCATGTGTACATAATTTCTCAACTCCCAAATGAGCTAGCACCTACAGATTATCACAGGTAAGGCTGAAGACCCAGCTCCACCCCTACTTCAATGCTTTGCACTGTTCAATAAGATAACACTTCCCAAAAGCAGCATGCTGAGACAGTCATGCCTCTGGTGTAATTATGTGATTGGTACTCACTAAGAGCACTGAAAGAAGACTTTGAAACTCACCTGTTCCTCCTCTTGTACGCAGCGTCCCTGTATGAGAGGAGGAATTGACTCCACCAAACACAGTCAGTCCCTGGCCTCCTGTGGCATGGAAGTTGTTGTAGTTTGGGATTGAAGTCACACCAAAGCTAGGATAGTGCTGCGGAGTGGGATCTGTCCCATAGCGGTAGCCTGAGCTTTGAGTTAAACTGCCATCCCTCTCGTCAGTCAGTTTTGTTGCTTCTTTATCCTTACATTGCACACAGCCCATTATCTAAAATCCTAGGAAATTAAGGAAAGGACAGGCGTTCATATATTGACACTCACCAGATCTCCCCCAAACCCACAGATGACAAGGATCAAATTAAGTTCACCACTGAAAAGTTAAATACTTTGGAAAAAACCCACAGTGGTTTGAGTTCAAACAGCAATATGGATGAAAACCTCACACAAAATCTTCCTTGCAGTGGTTTCCCATTGGGACCTGGGTCCTGCTTGCTCTCAGGGTTGTGGCAACTCTCTGCCCAGCCCTGGCCAGGCAATGGCTTGCACGGAGGTAGCAAAAGGATGAAACCTCTCTCACTCACCCTTCACCAGAAGGGCAAAGGACACAAAAGGACACAAGTAGAGGTGTTCAAGCCTTTGTTTGACCTTGCCAACTATGCAAGACCTGACTTAATCTAAAGGCATTTCAACTCTTTCCATTGCTGGAGCTCTTAGTGGCAGACAAAAGAGCAGACACAGTGAGCCAACAGTTATCACAGCACAGGAAAGCAGGAGGGAGCTCGTCAGATGGTTCAACAGAAACCACAAGAAGCTCCCTTTCACACAGCACCAAACTGAAGAGTAAAACTACCTGCCAGTAGCAGATGGTAGGGCAGCCAGAGGTATACGTTTTAAAAAAGCAGAGAAAGTCACAAAGAAGTTAACATGTCAAATTCAGAAAGTCTCAAATTCCAGACACCAGACAAGAGGAAACCATGAGGGTACGGCTTGGAAAAGGTTGTGCTAAGTTTTGTAATTCCTGCAACCTCTTGTTCAGCACCCTCATGGGACATTACCAGTGCCTGGGCTAATCTCACTTAATTTTAGGTGCCTATGTCTCTCTGGGTGGAGGGAGCCAGAGAGTGATTCGCCACATCTTAGAAGCTGCCCTCCGAGGTTAGTCCTGTTACCTGGTATTGCTTTTCATTTGTCAGCACTAACATCTTATAGTCCATGTGCTGGTGTTACCAAATGCTTTCCTATTGACTCAAGCTTTAATCTAGACACAAAAGCCGAGTTCCTGAAGCCGGGTGTGATGAATCTTGAGAATCGGGTACTTTTCTGGATGCACCCTTGATCTGAACTGGAATGGTGACTCTTACACATAACCTGGCACAAAATCCAAATACTTTAAACACTGGGACTGCAAGAAGAGCAGTGACAACAGAAGAATCTTCGAAAAACTTAAAATCACTGGACATAAGTTGTCCAGTATATACAAATAGACAGGGAGAAAATACATAGAACATAAAAAAGAAGTGTAGTGTATAATTTTTTTTTTCATATTTCTTTTCACATTTCAGCCAATATCCGTCACTTAGGGTAAACAAAAAGCCTGCCCTTTTTCAAATATTCTCATTTTTCTGTAGCTGCCAGGCTGGCTCTTTTGTGTGCTTTACCCCAACAGCAACACAGGAAATTGGTTTTGACAAATTCATGGGATTCAGAAAAAGCACATTCCTCTGCTGCTAATACTTGAAAAATTATGCAGTAGCTCCCTGCTTGTCTGTGACAGAACACAATCTGGATATCTGCTTCCTAAATCTAACCAGTCTAATTTTAAAAAAGGCCCTTCTATTGAAGGGTATTTTCTACAATTTGAAGATACTTCCAGTTATTCTACAAGCCTGTTCAGAAAAACAACCACCATTTAAATATATTTCCCTGAGCCATATTGCCTGCAGTTAGCACAGGTCTACTGTCTCTTCCTCTTCACTTAACTTAAAGGTGCTCTTCTTGCATTTCGCAGAATCACAGAATGGTAGGGGTTGGAAGGGACCACTGAAGATCATCCAGTTCAACCCCCTGCTAGAGAAGGATCAACCAGAGAAGATCCCACAGGACTGCGTCCAGGTGAGTTTTGAATGACTCCAGAGAAGGAGACTCCACAACCTCTCTGGGCCCCCTGTTCCAGTGCTCTGTCACCCTCACAGTAGAGAATTTTTCCCTATGTTCACATGGAACCTCCTGTGTTTCAGTTTGTGACCATTGCCCCTTGTTCTGTCACTGGACACAACTGAGAAGAGTCTGGTCCCATCCTCTTGACACCCACCCTTTAGATATTTATAAGCATGAATGAGATCCCCCCTCAGTCTCCTCTTTTCCAGGCTAAACAGACCCAGCTCTGTCAGCCTTTCCTCATATGGGAGATGCTCCAGCTCACTCATCATCTCAGTGGGTCTACACTAGAGTCTCTCCATTTCCTTTAAGACGACAACATCCACTCAGCAGAGTCCCCTCACTAAAACTTTTCAGTTTCTTCACACAAATGGGAAGAGTTGAACAGAAACCAGGATTCCTGACCCTGCATTTGCTGCAACGGGTGGCATGAGCTGGGATCCCTCAAGAAACTAAAGTAACAGTAGGTCAAGGGAAGGGGGCTGCAGAGGCCAAAACACGCCGTTGCTGTGCTGCAGCAGCCATGCCAGCCTCCAGCCTTTGCTTGCCCCAGTAGTTGGGTTGGTGCAGAGTATCATGCTGGGGCTCCAGGCTCCAGGCTGTCCATCCCCCGACAGGCAGTGACTCCAGGTGAGCCCACAGAGACTGTGATGGGTGCAGAGGTGCCCTGGCCAGCTGCAAAAAATTGCTTGAGCAGATACCTCTGCTGCTTTTACCCCTTCCAGCAGAAGGATGGTCTGGCTCCAGAGCCCTTCTGTTCTAGGTGAGGTCTTCCTGGCTCCTCTCAGAGCCAAGAAGCTCCAAGGATAGTGCCAGGGAGTGAAGCAGCACCACAAGGAGAGTGAGGGCCCTGCAGGGCAATGGCTCATCTCACTGCTCACAGCATTGACAGAGCCCAGGGGACTTCAGGTGGGAGGGATGAGCCCAGGACTCATGCTGGAACATACACTTACTCACTTCAAAACAGTTAAGCGATGTGCAGGCTTTACTATTTAAAGAAGAATCTCAGCAACCTTTTTGTTGGCTTGCAACCTTACCTCACAGTGAAATTCTATCGCCTCCTTGCTCTCCCTTCCCTGCTCTGTTTGTCCTCTTATTTTTTCCCATGTGCTTTCATGGGAAAAATCAGAAAAGAAAGTGAAAGAAAAAAAGAAATGGGAAACATGAAATCTGGGAGAGCGCTGGGGAGAAGGGGGTTTGTTGTCACTCATTTGCAAGCATTCAGCTGAGCAGTGAAAGATCTGAAATCTGGGAAAATTTCACATACCAAGTTACAAGTGCTCAACAGACAGCCCTACATGCTTCATTTACACATTCTAGTCAATTGATGAGGAAAAGTTAGAACTACAAGTCAGCCACAAAATTAAAATTGTTTAAAGTATTAATTCTGAAAAAAATGAACAAACCAGGAGATTCTGTACATGTTCTGGTAGTTTCAGAAAAATAATGGTTTGAGGTTTTCTTTGTACTAGGAATTGACATGAATAGAAAACCAGCGAATTATCAGTTTCTTGATTTTTGTTTGGTTTTTGCTCCCTTTATCTTTGTGCTGGCAATGGCAGTGCACAGGGAACGAAAATTTATGCAGAGAGAATGACTGATAAAAAGGGCTGTTTCTTTCACTTGCCCTTTCCCACTTTGTCACAGTGTCGAGACAATCTGAGTATTGGATACTACTGCTTGATTGTAGCTTCTTGTAAAACGTGACACAGGTGTTACATGCACACATCTTTTCAAGCCAAGTCCCTGAAAGTTGTCTGTTCCTGGCTCAAAAACCCCAGCATTGTGGGGAATTGACTAAATGTGAGAGAATACATGTATGCATGTACATGCTTAAAGTGACTTCAGCTAGCTCAGGGGCTTCATAGACAATAAATATAACCCCCATTCAGTGTCAGCCTTTGTGTCGATGAATGGATTCCAAAAACTAATCTCCTTTGATATCAGAGAGCAGGCTTTTAGTATCCAAAAGTCTCATCTCCCCATGTCAGCATTTGGAGATGTGGAAGGCTGGAGTTATTCAGCCAGCTCTGAGCTCACCAAAGAAAATCTGGAGCTGTTTTACACCAAATTCTCTAGAGATGAGCATGCAACGTTGTTCATCCAACATACTGCACAACTTACAGTAAAGGAACAAGATTTTATTCCATTTTCATTAGTAAAGGCAGCATTTCTCAGATGTGTGAGTTATGGGTCACACAGCATTATCATAATTTGACACGGGTATTGTTAAAAGGTATGTAACTAGACTAATTAAAAAGAACTTTTCTAATGCAAACAAGTTGAATTTATTTATTTTAAAGATGTGTTTTTATGGGCAATATAAAACATGTGTTTTAATGAAAGCATAAAATATTTACATGGTTTTTTGAGACTTCCTTAGAGACAAACGAAAATAACCACTATGTTATTTGTCTCCTTTCTTGTCCTTGTTGTATTTCCTGGACTCCAACATTTACATCGCAAGCAATCCAACATCAGCCTAACCAGAATAGTAGTTTCCTCCCACATGATGGAAATGTTATTCGACAAAGATACAAAATTAATTATTCAATTATTAATTATTTATATAATCACAGCACCTTAATTACTTTCAGTTAGGAAACAGATGAAGGCTAAGGAGATGCTATTAACACTGTTATTATTATTGTAAATCACCCTCCTTTTGTTTTTATAGTGGGTTGTTGGTTCTCAATACAAAATGGAAGCCAAGACTGAAACACCTACCAAAGCCAGACGTGAACCCTGTTAACAGAAACAAAAGCAGTTAGTTCTCTGTCAGCTAATCATTGCCTAGCAAAAGTCCAGGAGTACCAGGAAAAGTCCATTTTTCATACTTCTATTTTAAAAGGAAAAGCTCCAACATGTGGTGCTTGAAAAGTAAAAAGTGTTGATAAACCTTTGCTTAGTCTGGCTTCTGCAGCCGTAAACCACCAGAAAAAGATGGAAGGGAAGACGTCTGGTGTAAATTCACTCCTTCAGACCATCCATAAGATTTTGCAACTTGTGGCTGAAACTTTGAATTACAATATCTCTTCAGAACCTGCTCTTCTGAGTGTTACAGAAAACAGTGGATCCTTAAAAAGTTTGAGAGAGGGGTACAGGGAGATGCAGGGAGA